CTAATTTTAGATTTTAGATTGTAATTTCATATTTTTTAGCTATATATTTATTGTGTTATATCTTTATGGAATCAGGTGGGAAACCTGAATAATTATTGGGCGTGTTCGGAATAGAGCGTTTAAGAGCTTCTAGCATCTAACATTTGACAAAACGCTCTATTTTAAACAGAAAATCTCGTTTGACACTACAAGCTTTTAATATTTATTTTAAACAAAACGCTCTAAATCTAAATGTTACTTAATCTAGCGTTTAACAAAACGCTACCAGCTAGAAGCTACCCGCTATTTTTGTCGAACACACCCATTTAAAATTGAATTTCATATGTTTAAGAAGTATTGTTGAATCGTTGGCTTCGAGTGTCTTATTTCAGAAATTTTATGAGAATTTAATTTCTTTACAACCAAAACGTATTTATAATTGTTCGGAATTAAATTTTAATTTTATCCAAATCCTATAAAATCCCACAAATCAAATACTATTTTAGGAAAAAATAATATTTAAAACTTCAATTTACTTATTCCAAGTCCTTGTATCTCGAAAAATCAAAATGAAAAAAATAAAATAAAATTTACGACCAAAAACTTTGAATAACAATTTCGCAGTAAAGACATATAAACAAACACATGACGCCCAACGAACGACCCACAACAAAATTCTGTTTCCGTTTAGATTTTAGATAAATCATCAGCGACATCCATCCATAAAAACCCTTCAACCTTCATCAGAAATATCCCAAATTTCTTTCCCCCAATTCCAAATTCCGTGTCCCGATTTCAATTTCATCAGAAAAATCAACACGGAATTTGGAAAGAAAACCCTTTTTGACCGGTTTGAATCTTTCTTTCAAGGTTCCATCAAAACCCACGTTCTTGATTTGTTTTTTTCAACTCCAATTTTCATTCCTTTTACAGGAAAGATTTGAATAACCAGACACGTAAATGGAGATCGATAAAGCAATCAGAGAGAGCAATGATCAAAAGCTGAAAACCAAGTATAATAAAGCCGTCAATGTTATTCAAAGAGCTCTTGCTCTTTACCCGTAAGTTTCACTTTTACATGTTCGATTACTAAGATTATATTTTGACGTTTTAGGGTTTCGTTTTAGTGAAACGATTTGGGTTTTCTAGAGATTTGATTATCGTTGACATTGTTTCACTTATCAGTATCGAAGAGGTTGCATTTAGCTTCAATGGCGGAAAAGATTCAACGGTAAGTTTTTGTTATTATCCGCGATCATAATCATCTAAAAACCCCATTTCTTCAATAATTCCCAACAATTATCTTTTCTCCTAGGTTCTACTACACCTTCTAAGGGCAGGATTTTTTTTACATCAAGTCGATAATGGTCATTCAAATGGCGATCTATCCAGTTACGCATCCGCATTTCCAATAAGAACAATATATTTCGAGAGCCCTTCTGCCTTCCCTGAAATCAATTCATTCACTTACGAAACAGCCTCTAGGCAAGACATTTTCTACAATCAATTCAATTATCTTAATCTAATCAATTAATTGTATATGTAATTCATTCTTTTCGTGTAGTTATGGTGTCCAATTAGATATCATACGCCAAGATTTCAAGTCAGGTTTAGAGGCGTTACTAAAATCTAAACCAACAAAAGCCATTTTCCTTGGTGTTAGAATCGGTGATCCAACTGCTGTAAGTCATAATCCTTGTCATATTATTCTTTTAAAGATAATAAAAAACTTTTAAAGATAATAAAAAAATGTTGACTTTTTGAAGGTGGGTCAAGAACAATTCTCTCCAAGCTCACCTGGATGGCCACCTTTCATGAGAGTTAATCCAATCTTGGATTGGTCTTACAGGTATTTCAATCATAATTCATAAATATGCCAAATTATGAAGAATGGCATTTTTGTAATTTCCTTGATTTTCTATGGCAGAGATGTGTGGGCTTTTCTTTTGACTTGCAAGGTTCCATACTGTAGTCTATACGACCAAGGGTAATTCATATCTTATATTTTCAAGAATTTGCTTTATGGGTTTGTTTCTTTTTCTTTAAAACTTTTTTTTTTTTTTTTTATATATGTTTACAGATATACATCAATAGGAAGTGTTAATGACACAACTCCAAATGCATTGTTATGCATTAAAGATTTTGGTAAGGAAAAGTTCAAGCCTGCATATATGCTTTCAGATGGAAGATTAGAAAGAGCTGGAAGAGCCAAAAAGTTACATCAAAAAGTCAAAGATGGAGTCAAAGGTGTGGAATCACATCAAGAAAACACCCCTTCAGCCTCAATCATAGCAGTGGGTGATGAAATTCTGTAAGTTTCTTGATTATTATTTGTATTATTATTATGCTTATGACTTTTTATGTGTTGACTGATGTTTATGATTTGACATAGCTCAGGTCTGGAAGGGTGGAGGATGAATTAAGACATTTGTTGTGTAGGAAGCTTCATTCTATTGGTTGGAATGTTTCCCATATTGCTGTTGTATCAAGTGATGTAAGTTGCATATGGAAATCTTGAAATAATAAGGTAAAGAATTACTGAATTACCCCTGAATTGACAGTTTATTTGTTCTATATAGGTAGATTCTGTAGCTCAAGAAGTTGAAAACCAAAAGTCTACAAGTGACATGGTATGCCATTTATTACATGTAAATGTGTAAATATGTATGTTATCATTTTTTATTTTTTATAAATCTGAAATTGGTGAAATGAAATGTTAATAAATAAATACAAATACAGGTTTTCTTATATGGAGGAGTTGGTCCATTACCTTCAGATGTTTCCATTGCAGGAGTTGCCAAAGCTCTCAGTGTTTGTTTGGTGAGTCATATACATTTTATTTTCTTTTTATTTTATGAAATGTATAATTTAGGATTTTAATTTTGAAATGTAATAATAATAATAATAATACAGGCTTCCAATGAAGAATTTGAAGAACATCTTAGGAATTTATATGGTGAAAAGTGGACTGGGGAATCTAATGAGGTATAATAACTGGAATACTGGAATTTTTTTTTAAAAAAAAAAAAAAAATGTAGTAATAACATAATAATAGAATTTGTTTTTGGATTTTATATATTTTGCAGATGGCTAAGTTGCCAGAAGGTATAACAGAATTGTTGCTACATGAAAAGCTTCCTGTTCCATTGGTAATTAAGTTTATTTTTAATAAAAATTCAAATTTGATGCTTCAAAAAGTTATAATGTGTGTGTGTGTGTGTGTGTTTTACAGATAAAGTGTGGGAATATAATTGTTTTTTCTGCAACAAATGTGAATGAGTTTGACCAACAATGGGATGCTTTGACCAATTCAAGATTGTTAGCAACAACACGATCATTTGTATCTAAACATTTCACAACCTCCCTCTCAGATGTATGAATGTGTTTCATTAGTCAACTTTACAAAAGTCAAACTTTTGCTCTTTTTTTAGAAAAATCATTTTCATAACTCCAAATTGTGTTTGACTTTGTAGATAGATGTTGCTCAGCCTCTATCAAAGCTTTGTTTTGAATTTCCAAATGTCAACATTGGTAGGAATTCTCTTTAATTATTTCTCAAAAAGCATCATTATCTTTGTTTCTTTATTATTTTTTCTGATATTTTGTTTTAAAAAATCAAGGATGTTATCGTAAATCAAGAACAGAACCTCTCACAATAACTTTGGAAGGGAAGGTAATGACTATTGACTAATGAGTTTGAACAACTTTTTTTTAATAAATTTAATTGAATAATGAATGTGACACAAGTTATTAATTTCATATTTTACTTTGTTTATAGGATGAAAAGATGGTAGAAGCAGCCATGGAAGCAGTTTCAACAAGATTATCATCACAATAATTTTGATCAGAAAATGTTTGAAGGAAAAAGAATAAGTGATATGGGTGAAAGAGAGAAAACAAGTGTATATGGATAATTAACAAAGCTATTATACTTCATTAGAATTTGCAAACATGTTAGGATGAAAAATACATCATTTTTTTGGGGAAATTTGAATTTACTTGTTCATGTTGTTATTGTTTTTGGTTTGTATTTTGTTTTGTTGGTTAATGATTAATCCATGTATAACTAATCTACAATGGGGTTAATTTGAGAAATAACAATGTATTTTTCAAAATATAGATAAATATTACGGCATTATATTTATTGCTTTATAACAAGAAGATGGTTTAATTTAATCAGTTTTTTTTAACCTACATGATATTGCAACATTATAAATTTATAATAATATAACCTGTTTAAAAAGTAGCAAATTACCTATTGCTATAACTTGATAGATTTTTGAAAAATATGTTGTTAATGAGAAGATAATTGAAAGCATAATAATGTATATATATAAGAAATGAAAGATATGATATAATAAAATTATTAAGAAAATGCATTATCATTTATTACCATTAGCCTTAAAATCTAAGAGCGTATTTGGTTGTTGCTCGCGATTGTGTTGGCGAGCTTGCCCAAAATAAATGGTGGTAGAGGGTGTATCGAGAAGGTAACATAATGAAACTAAACTGATGACTGTTTTTTGTTAAGGTTATGGAGTAAATAAAATAAGGATGATACATCTGTACAAAAGATACAAAAGAGAGTTCTAGATGAATCTAAAGGCTAAAACATAGGTAGGATAAGTCGGTCAAGTTAGTATTATGTGTGTGTGTGAGAGAGAGATTATTATTATTATTATTATTTTTTTTGTTATGCCGAGGTAGAGGGGCGTTGTTTGCCGAATACATCTCAACATCAATGTCCTTCCTGCCGAACTCACCCTCCTTCTGCTCCCTACAACCTTATGTATTTTTAAGTTTAAGATAGTCTTCCAGTTTGATTATTTTTGGTAACAATGTTGTTTTGCATATTTTTTTTTTCTTAATAGATAATATAATTCAATTTTAAGAAAACATGTATTGAATAATATAAGTTATCCCAAATTAATTGAATAAAAATTAACAAAAAAATACAAGTCAAAACATCAATAAATATTTGGTTTTTAACTTTTTATCGGCATCTTCTAATTATTTAGGCAAAGGTTAAAATAGCCTACCACACATAAGGCAAGAAAGAAATTAGAGTACATTGAACATGGACAATACAGAAGCAGCAAAGCAAATCAATCTCCATGGCAACCTCATCACTGCATCCAACGATGAAAATCTAACAAACATTTTTCACCAAATCAGAACTTCCAAATCCCCTGTATGGATCTTCACTCCTAATTTTCTTTCAAAGATAAATTCAATTCATCCTCTTCACTAGTTAAACAACCTCTTTCTTGATTTGTTTATCGTAGGCGGTGATCAACTTCGGTGCATCCTGGTAATTCTTTGAAATCCAATCTATTAGATACCATTCAATATAAGATCGCTACAATCACACTTTTCAACTTTTGTATTCGGATTACGAAACCGAACTTGAAGACAAGGTGTTCGATGTAATGCTCAAATGAAAAATAGAAACAAAACTTGAAGACAACGTGTTCGATGAAATGCTCAAATGAAAAATAGACCAATATATTTTGTTGTTTCTTTTACAGGTGTCGTGTTTGTGCAGAGATCCTCCCTTCGTTTAATCAATTAAGCAACAAGTTCCCAAAACTTTCATTTGTGTATGCAGATATTGATGAATGCCCAGAAACAACCCAACATATTCGATACACACCCACTTTTCACTTCTATCGAGATGGTGAAAGAGTCGACGCCATGTTTGGTGCCGGTCAAGAAAGGTTACACGACCGTCTCTGGTTACACTCCTAATTTTAAGTAAATTAAACTTTCGGAGGGATGTTTCTTAATGCCCTTAATCACTTAATTTGGACATTATATATGTATGTTTATATTTTATTTAATCTGGACAAAATAACTCTTCCAACTTAATGTATTAAGACACTAACATTTTACTTTGGAATGTTAGGGAAGATGGTCATGATGGACTGTTTGATATGTTTCTTAATGAGTTTGACTTAGATCAGACTGTTTGATACTATAATTAATAACATTTGATTCGGTTCTATAGCTGTTGTAAGGTCATACGGTATACATAGCACGAGATCGATCGTGGTATACGTGGACCACGACCACGACCGTGCACACCATCCCGGCTGGTCGTGGTCGTGTTCGCTTGTTGTGTGTTCCACGAAATCAAACAGAAATGGGTATTGGTCGATGCTCTGCAACGGCTAGTGTTTTTTCTTTTTTTTTTTTTTTTTTTTTTTTTTTTTACCTTTCAAACATATTAAACTTCTTCTATAAATATCACACTTTATATTAAACATACTCACACAATTTCTTCTTTCTTTTCTCATAAAATCTCACACTTCTTTTGCATTCTTTTAAAACCAATGACTCCTAAAAGGATGAATTGGTCAGAAAATGAAGAAGAGAACTTAGCACGAGCATGGGTAGCAGCTTTAGAAGATCCAATAACGCCTCCTAATTTTTGGGTAAAAGTTGGAAACGTTTTCCATGATTTAATGGGTTACCAAAGTCGTAGTTTTGATGAAATATGTGCGAAGTTTCGCGATATGAGGGTTAAATGTCTTGAATTCAATGGTATTTATAACTTTGTTATAAACAATGCACACGAAGGCGACATGGTTGCTGTGGCCATGCACCAATATGAAGACACGAAACACACTGTTTAAACACGTCAAAGCTTGGCGAAAATTGAGAGAGTGCCCAAAATTTAGTGATTAAAAATAAGGTTTAAAAAATAGTTTAAGTTGTTTGTGGTTGCATGTTTATGTTTTTTTTATGTTTTTTTTTATTTTATGTTGTGTGTTTTAAATTAATGTAATCATGTTTCATTGAATAAAAAACTAGTTTAAAAAAAATATGTTTTATTGTGTTTTTGAATTAAATTTAAATAAAAAAATGAGGTGGAGTGGTGTGTTAGTGGTAAGTATCCTATGTATGTGGTAGGGGAATGTGGTGATGATGTGACACCCACCACATATGTGGTATGTGTTGGGTATAACGGATGGTCTAATGCCTTTATTGTAAGAAGTTGAGTTTGATACGATCAACAACTATCAAACAACATTAAATCTAATTCAGATTGTTTATTTAGTCTAAAAAAGAAACATCATTATTGTTGGTGGGTGTGTTTAGTGATATTATAATATGAATTTGTAGCTAAATTCATAATACACAACAAGAACATAACTTCATAATTTTTTTTAGAAATTTTCTATTCGAATGACAAGTATATATCACAAAAAGCACACAAGTAAAAACATAACAAAGACAACGAATTGTAATGAAGAAACACAACATTTGACAAAAACAATCGAAGTTTTGTAATATTCCACTGCCCTCCTCCAACTTCAAACTCTATATCTTTATTCCTCATTTCCACACCAAGGGCAAAAGTGTCATTAATTCCATCAATCTCCCACTATACTCAATTACTCATCACTCACGCCTTCGGTTTAAGAACCTTCGGAGTCTCCCAGGTAAAATCAGGATCTTCACGACCAAAATGGCCATAAGCCGCAGTCTTTTGATACCTAAAATTACCACCCCTCTTCAAATCAAGATTAATCGACATCATCCCTGGCCTAAAATCGAAATTCTCCTTAATCAAAACAAGAATATCTTTATCCGGAATCTTCCCAGTTTTATACGTGTCAACAAACACAGACAAAGGCTCAGCCACCCCCAATCGCATAAGAAACCTGAACAATACACCGCCGTGCAAGTCCAGAAGCCACCACACTCTTGGCCGCTTGCCTCACAATATAAGCCCCACTCCGGTCAACCTTCGTCGGATCCTTCCCGGAGAAAGCACCACCACCGTGGGCTCCCCACCCACCGTAAGTATCAATGATAATTTTCCGGCCAGTGAGTCCCGCATCACCGTGGGGACCACCAATCACAAACCGCCCAGACGGATTTAGATGAAAGATGGTTTTTCGTCAAGGTATTTAGATGGGATCACCGGTTTAATCACGTGTTCTTTAAGATCTTTAGCGATTTGGTCGTTTGTTACAGTTTCATCATGTTGGGTGGAGATAAGGACTGTATGAACCCTAATTGGAACCATGGCGCCATTATCGTTTTTATATTCAACTGTTACCTGTGTTTTTCCATCGGGGCGTAGCCATGAACAGGTTTTGTTCTTTCTGACTTCGGTTAATTTAGCTCCTAGTTTGGTTGCGAGGACATGGGTGAGTGGCATGAGCTCAGGGGTTTCATCGGTGGCGTACCCAAACATGTGTCCTTGATCACCTGCACCGATTTCTTCTGGTTTCTTGCTGAGGTGACCATGGACGCCTTGAGCTATGTCGGGGCTTTGTTGCTCAATGTTGACTAGGACTTTGCAGTTGTCAGCATCGAGTCCGACTTCCGGAGATATGAATCCGATTTCCTTGCAGGTTTTACGGACGATTTTCTCGTAGTCGACTTTGGCTTTGGTTGTGATTTCACCGAAGACCATGACCATGTTGGTTTTGGTGCAGGTTTCACAGGCGACTTTGCTTTCGGGGTCTTGTTCTAGACATGCGTCTAGAATGGCGTCTGAGACTTGATCACAGAGCTTGTCTGGGTGGCCTTCGTTCACGGATTCTGATGTGAATAGGAAGGTTGCCATCTCTGATAATAAGAGTTCAATTAGCAACGAATGAAATCAAGGCAACTTCTTCATATGAATTTTGAACGAATGTATCACATTAGGATCATTATTGAAGTGAGAAACTAATATGACAGTTTACTTATCACAGAATTCAGTAAATCATCTGTGGTTTTGCTGTGGTTTAAGCGCTATACCACGAAATACAACAGCTACGACGTTCGATTAACAACTTTAGTAGAAGAAAGTATATGAAACACATAGATCTACTCCGAAAAGAGGCTACTTAACATAATCGTACTTAAAATTCCTGAAAAATGATCGAACAGAATGTTCATAATGTACAGAGATCTCGCTCTTCGAATCAAACTTCAACAATTTCTAAAGCATTAGAAAGAACAGTTTATCAATGTGATTGATCACATATAGATTTTAAATCTATAGACAAAAACCTACGAGAGATTTCCACAATCGACACTAACAAACCGCAAATTCAGGAAATAGAAAGTTGATTATACGGATCAAAATCCAAATTCAGAATATAAAAACGCAATTGAATCGAACAATAGCAGCAAATCGAACGTACCTTTCTTTGATCGGGATCTGTAGAGATATGGGGAAGAACGAGAGAGAGAGAGAGAGAGAGAGAGAGAGAGATGGATGGTTTGAAGTGAGTGGGGAAGTTGTGTGAATTTATAGGTGCGGATGTGTAGGAGATGCGCGAGTGACTCGCTCTGTAACTCGGGGTGAAGGTTGTTTATGAGGTTGTAGATGATGGATAAAAGTTTGTACATGGCGAAACCTACCACATCCCTATGGTGGAACCCTCACCAACCCCTCAACCTCTTAGTGGGGCCCTTTCACCAACCCTTACCACCTTCGTTTTCCCTTCCCTAACAATCATATTTACATGGTTAGATTAAAATCTCACCTTCGAGCAAAATACGATCGGTTGTTCTATTTAGGTCCCAATTTCGTTGTCCATTAGACTAACAATCGGATCCTCTATAATGTTAACTCCCCATACGTGATGCTCTTAAGGTTTGATCAAACCATCCCTAATCATCCTTTTGAGCTCTCAAACTTTCGATACTAATCATCTTAATCACCACGATGTTAGTGTAGGAAATAAATTCTTTGACGTACAGGCTAATCGTCTCTATGGTTTGCATCATGACTTCTTACAATTGAATATCTGTTTTGTAGAGCTCCATGTTTATTTATTTTATGGTTTTTATTAAAGGATACGATAACATCTTCAATATAAAGATTCATCATGGTGAGATTTTGTTAGATGCACTTTATGAATCTTTTAGCACATTTATTCCGTGTTTTTGTTACGCATATTAGATTTGGAGTCACGCATTTTTGATAAAGATGTGATTTTTGTGGTTTTCGGTAGAATTAGGTGATTTGTATGGTTTGAGCTGGTGTGTGGGACATTTGAAGGTGGAAACATACTAGGAAGCTTCGATGTCAGTTTCAGGAAGTTCAAAAGAAAATCGAAAAAGTCAGAAAAACGAGTGGGTATTGGCTTCCGACCTGTTACATGGGCCTTGTTTTATTAGGTGTTAAAAACAAAATCTTGTTTTTGGAGATCTTGAAAACGGGATGTCGTGACTTAAAGAAAACATTGGGCGTGCTTTTTGAAGGACAAAAAGCATGGCCGTGTTTTTAGGCTTCCGTGCAAAAAATGACAACTTACTTTGAAGGACTTTTGAATTTGGGCCTCGAATTTTAATAGAAACACGAGCCTTGTTTTTCACAATGTAAAAAAAAGTAAAATAGGTTTTCTTAGAAGACACTTATTCAGCAGTTTCCATATTTCGTAAAATAAAAAAGTTTTTTGACATTTTTTTTCTTAACGTGCAACCATGAAATCTCACCATGGGTGAATTTTAGGAAGGCTCGGCTTAAATATTTGTTTGGAAACATTTTTTTTTTTTTAAATTATGTAAGTTGAATTAACGTTTTGATTACTACTTTAGATTTGTAAGTATTTTTAGCAACGCTTAGCTAAAAACTTAATTATGGTTCCATAGTTCATGTTCCTTCTTTTATGTAGTTAAGTTTTGTGGATTGATATTGAAGACGATTTCTAATTTAGTAATTAAAATTTTGTTTTGATTAAACTCTTAAATTTTAACTTGGTTTATGTTGGACACTTAAATTAGGTTGATTTTTGAATATTGTAATTGTTTTGTGATCCGAAACTAGTAACAAACAACTAGTTGACCAAAATATAATGATCCTACATTTTTTATGGTTCCTTATATAGTAAACTCCACAAATGGTTCCCGTGTTCAAAATTATCACTTTGGTCCAAAAAGATTTGGTGTAACGTCCGTAGATTCAGGCTAGTCAATTTAGAGACGATAAGTGTCAAAAAAATGATTTTTTAATAAAAGATTATTTAGAATGAATAATTTTAACCAAGTCATAGTATATGTTACAAGGGTTCTGTACATATAAAGAACGCCGAAATCCGAGTTATAACGAAGAAGTTATGGCCCGTCGAAGTTTTACGACAAAACCGACACGACACCGGGAGACGTAAATAGTGAATTTATGATAGAAGAATTTTTAGCCTTAGTGGTCTAAACAAAAGTTGTAGTATACGTTAAAACGAGAATATACAAAAAAGAACGTCAAAATCTGACTTCGTATGAGAAAGTTATGATTTTTTTCTAAGATTTGGCATAGCAGTGCACGACCCGAAACTCGAATTTTAGATCGAGCGGTTTTTGGCCAACGCGACCTAAATGAGAATTGAAGATCTCATTAATAGGAACGCAACGACAAAAAGACAGATGAAAACGGAGTTCGTATGTAGAAGTTATGAATTTTACGCGAACATTTAACAATGTAGTCACCTTCTACTGTTAAATTTAAGATCGATCGAGATTTAGCCGACGGAGTCAAAAGGAAAGTTGTAGATCTTATTTTTACCTACGCGTGGATATAAATAACGTAAAAACGGAGCTCATATGCGAAAGTTACGAATTTTAGAAGTCGGAAGTGTGTTGTGCGAAAATGGGTGATGTGGCACAATCTTGGCCATTGCTTTCTCCTCAAGTCTTGCCACCAGATTTTGACATGTGGCACCAAGTTCAGCCATATTTCACCCTATAAATAGAACCTCTCCCACCCTCATTTTCTTCACACCTTTCCCATTCTTTCTTCTCTCTACACTCTCTCTAAACCTCCCAAAAACTCCCCTAGCGCTAGAAGAAAGCCCCGGAGCGCTCGACGGCTCCGAGAAGAAGTGCTTTCGGCTCGAAAGTCCTGCCCCTGCAGAGCCCGACTTCTAGCCAAACCCCCTCGTAGGTAAGATACGCCTACCTAATTTTTAATATAGCTTTTATTTAAATATAGTAACGTTATTAGGACCTTATTAGCTGAACACTGGTAGCTATGGATTTAGTACCCGATGAATGAACTTTAGCAGCTATGGAATTAATGCTTTACGAACAAGCATTGGCAGCTATGGACTTAGTGCCTATCATATAAACCTTGGAAGCAATGGGCTTCGAAATGAATGAATGCAGGATAGATGATTCTTATGGTAGATCCTTAAGAGTAAGGAAGATAATGGGGATGGGTAATTGGGTTGATTGTTTGATGTTTAAACATAATAATTAAATTATTGTGGGTTGAAAACCCTATGTACTCACCAGGTTTCCCAACCTAACCCACTCAAGCTTATTTATATCACAGGTGTCGATATGAAACTACTTTACACTGAGGGATTTAAAAGAGATGTAGATCACTAGTGTAAATGAATGTAAGATCTTTTTATGCTTATGTTTCTGTATTGACGATGACATCCCAAATGTTTTAAAATAGATAAAAATACATTTCTTCGGAAATACTTTGATAACATTTATCATATTTTTCTGGGAACAAATTCCGCAATGTTTTTATTAAAAGAGGTACTCTGATTTTTATAAAGCATAAACAAAATCGGTCTTTTCTGGTCGTGAAAATGGGGATGTTACAGTTGGTATCAGAGCATTAGTTTAAGGGAACTAGGAATATGGATTTATTTCTAGACTTAAACTTAGAATGCTAAGCGATGATCGTGAGGAGTGTGTCTAATAAAATTTAGGTAATCCACCTGAATAGACACAAGCACTAGCTAATTTAGGGAAAATGCCTAACATGCTTTTATGTGCTAAATGATTTATGATGCTAAATGTATGGTCGGATCTATGGTCTGTTGCCGACCGGATCTGGAAACTTTATGTGTTCAGATTTCT